GGAGTGGCTGGTGGGTTTGAACCGCCAGCCTTCTGGTTAGCAGTCAAGTGCCTTAGCCACTATGCTCCCAGAGCTCCAGTTGTAATGCAAAAATGCAACCACTGCTGTGGAGTCGGATCTGACTCGTAGCAACCCGTCCTTGGGTTTCTGAGGTGGTATCACTACGGAAGTAGATTGCCTAACCTTCCTTCCATTGACATTAGTTCTTGGATGTCTAGTGGACATCCTGAACCTACCTTGGCCAAAGCATAACTGTTATTATAATTCCTCCTAGGCATTAGGAGCATTTTCAGTCTCTCACCTTTCCCTTGTCTTCCGCATTTCAGTATGTAGAGCTATGGCACTCATTCTATTGGACCAAAAACCAAGTTATCTTTGATTTGTCTCTTTATCTCACACTCCATATCTAAGCCATCAGCAAGTTCTGTTGGCTCTACCTTCAGACTGTATTCTGAATCTAAACACGTCTCTCCACCTCTATGGTTGCCTCATTGGTCTGTTAACCGACCACATCATCATTTCTCTCCTGAGTGATTGCAGTGCCTCCTAAATTATCTCCTGCCTCATCTTAGTCTGTTTCCCATCAGCCAGTGATAGTTTTTAACACATGAATGAGATCACATCACTCTCTTCCTCTAAATCTTTTAAGGACTAGCCATTGCTTTTAGAATAAATTCAAGAGTCTTTTGAACTGCCTTTAAAGCTGGATCTGATTGGGCCCAGCTTTCCTCTCCTACTTTACCCCCTAGTGCTCTTTTCCTGGCTCGTTGCATCCTCACCACAGTGGGATTTTTGCTGTTCTACAAACATGTCAAGCTCTAGTATTCTAACAGACCCTGAATCCTATTCTGTCTGTATGAATGATCTTCCATGAGCTTGAGTCCTCCTTCTGGAAAGGGAAACCAGTGGTACCTACCTCAAAAGGTTGTTGGGAAGATTAAATTAGTATATTAAAAGCACTTAAATAGTATCTGGCAGAGAGTAACTACTCTATAGTGTTAGCTATTATTTTTTTGTTTTTGTTATTAGTATTTTAGGAACATGGAGGAGGCATGCATTTTGGTTTTGTTGAGTTTTGGGTGCTCGTAAGATGTACAGATATAAATGCAGTATAGGCAGTTGAATGTAGTCATTTGGAATGACTAATAAGAGATAATCTAGTGCCTTGGAAGAGTGAGCAAAACTTCTAGCTCTAATTAAGTGTCCAGAGATTAATTCGTGAATTGGGAAGATATGGCTAATTAATGGTTTGACATATCTGAGTCTGGGTGGTGAAAACAGTTAATGTGCTTGGCTGCTAACTGAAAGGTTGTGATTTGAGTCCAGGCAGAAGAGCCTCAGAAGAAAGGCCTGGTGATCTCCTTCCAAAAAACCAGTCATTGGCGACCCTGTGGAGCACAGTTCTACTCTGACACACATGAGGTTACTATGAGTCAGAGCTGACTTGGTGACAACTGTTTCTTTAATTTTTTATTTGAGAGATTCTATTCAGAGCTTTCAAAATAGATGGCAGCCATCATGCTGACAACTCTGGCTGTTCAGATAAAAGAATTCAGTTGTTTTTGTGGTTTAGGTTTTCTTTTTTCTAATGTTTTTTAGTGAGCCAAGGCCCAGGTATTGCTGTGGAAGTCTGTCCTGCTGCTTCTATAAGCTGGCGCTATGCATCCAGTCCCTGGGTCCTTACAGACACTGTTGTGTAGTACTCTTGTGATTCTCTGCTCTTCTGTAAGTTCAGGTAAGTGCTTAAGAATGGTGGTGTTTTGGTTGAAGCTTGTTAATCCTGTAAAAACCAAATGGTACTCTTGTAAAAATGTTAGTCCTGTGAAAAACAAACTGGCTTCAATACTTTGCTAATAAAGTGGTTTGTAAAGACATTTCTAAGATTTGTTTGACCAACTACATGATTTAAAAACTTGTCTAATGAAGGAACTTCAGAGCCTTTGCTTAGATCTTCTAGTAGTGCTACTGGGCATTAGTAGGCCTTCTGATCATTATCCTTGTAATTTATTCCTTTGTTGCCTTAAAAGTAAATATTTTTGAATTGTGCATTTTAACCAAACTCACTGCTGTCGAGTTGGTTCTGACTCATAGCAACCCCTCCTTCCTTTTCTGAAGCGGTATCTTTATGGAAGTAGATTGACCAGTCTTCCTTCCAAGGAGTGTGTGGTGGGTTTGAACTGCCAGCCTTCTGGTTAGCAGTCAGATGCCTTAGGCACTATGCCATGAGAGCTTCTGTTTTTGTGTTTGGTAATTGTGAAATTTTCAACAAAGTATTTGTTACAAATTTCAGCTGTATGAAAATCCTGAATTTGGAAATTGGAGCAGGAATAGAATGCTGATTGCAAAGCACCAAAGAGAAGTTTTAGAATTAGAATAGTACTGCTCAAATTGAGACTCATAGTAACCCCTATTGGGTTTTCAAGGCAGTAAATCTTT